GCGGAATTCATGCCATAATTTGCCATCTCTTAAAATGATTTTGCATTCAGAAATTCGGGATTTAATACGAATTTGATGCACGAGAAAATAGTGCATATTGGACGTGAAGAAGGGAGCAAGTTGCACGTGGGGAAAAAAATGCGCCTGATTTAAATGTCACACCTGAAAGCTCACATCCTTTTAATTATGTTTGAAATTATGAACATTGCTCAACATCATGAAAATTAAACCTTATTTTCAATAAGCAATCCTGAAAAATATTTGGGGGTGCTTAACTTTTTTCCAGGTGTATAGTTCAATCTGACTCATTAAATTCTGTTTTCATCTTCTGTGCAACACTTGAACCTAGATATTAAATTCACATTGTACTTATTATAGGAAACATCTCTTGACAAAGAAGCAAAAACAAGATTATCATCAAGCAAAGTACCTAGCTCAAAAAGTGCTTTGGTTTCTCCTAAAGAAGAAGGTAAGCTATAAACTGATAGTGTTATTAGTACTATGTGTCTAACTGACAAGTTTTGTCAATGTTTATATTGCAGTGGTATTAGGGTACCATTTTGGATCATTTAGAAGTTTTACATAAGAGATTGTTTGAAAAACATAGTGAAGAGTTGTAGCACAGACCAGAATGGACAACCTGCCTAGAGAATTTTGAAGAGGTTTGATGTTTTAAAACATGACATGTATATGTAGAATCTAATATAGATTAACAGATTAAAAGTGTTATGTAATGAAGAATTATTCCTTTTCTAAATTTTTCAAATATATTCATCTCTACATCAGTTATATCAGAGAGGATCGACTTTTTTTAGCAATTGTGCTAATTTTAGGTTCTGAATTTTGAGTAAAGCACCAAAATTAAACAACTGATAATATAATTTATATTTTGATAAAATCTCATGCGTGTGGAGAAATTCCAAAAAACCTTTTGTGCGAGGTGCCACAACATGATATTTTATGACAGATATACTGCAAGTTTTTTTCTCATCCCAATTATAGCTTGTGTTTCATGGATAAGTCACCTTGAGTTATACAGATGGTGTTTAAACCATTGTAGTTTTTTATGTTCTCTGTATTTTTTCACTAATGGCACCAGAAAAACTGTTGTATAAATGTATACTACATTTTGTATGGCTTTTATTGTAGAGAATGACTATATTTCCTGTTGTGAGCAACATTCAACAATTGTTACAGCATTTGCAGTTAATACATTTTGTGAATATTTATGCCAGTTTTTTTTTTACAGAAATCAGAATTGTTATATTTTCTGAACTGTAATGCTTATTTACAGAAATAGTGATTGATACATTTTGCAACCCATACCTATTTACAGAGATTGTGATTATTCTGATACGATATTGTACCTTCTCTCACAAAAAGCCTTCTCAAAATGTAGGAAATTCCTACATTCTGGCATGAGGACAACACCTAATATGTTCTTTTCCCCATATCTTCACCATATCAGGGTTTCTTCTTCATCAGGTTTTCGTCTATCACCTGTGACCATTTTTCATACTGCAATGCGACTCGAACTGGGTAAGTTTCTATTCATTATTTCTTTCCTTTCAGGGGCCCCTGCTTCATTAGTCACTATTTGGTTCCTGCTTTGTGGTGAGCAGTGCTTGACCAGGTATCCTTCAATTGAAGTCTACACTGTACAGCCATATTAAATTGTGCTCTCTTCCATGACTTTGCAGTGCTCACTAGTGAGATGGATTGTTCCACAATATCACTTGAAGGTGAATAACCTCACAATGTTTTTGCTTCATAAACATGCCCGTTCCGCACCGTACCACCCATGGACTGCATGGGTAAAGCAAAAAGGAATAGCTTACCATCTCTGCCATGCCTTGATTGAATAAATCAGTATGGTCTAGTTTTCAAAATAGGGTTTCATGGTCACCCATTGCACTATCTCCAGTGGTGATGTTTCTCTGAACTCTCCACTACATATCCACCCTCTTTTCTTCTAGTGGATTGTGGGAGTTCTTTCCAGTTCCAAGCCGATGGGATAGTTGACCTTGGAGGCACCCTCCTGAATGGGTTCCACAAAACCATGGCTATAACCGTTCAGTCAAGAGTAAGGTGGTGGTGGTGGTCTGCTGATGTAGATGAGACATGGCCACCAGAGGAGTTGAGCCATCACCTTGCTGGATGACATGGCCTCCTGATACCATTTACACAACCAATGGAGTTGAGCTGTCGAAAATGCAGTTCACCCCTTTGATTGGGAACCTTCATCTTACCACCATGTGGATGTCTGTACCCTGTGGACTGGTGTTGGATTTAGAATGAACCAATCAATGTAAGGCTTCACACATGTTTATGATTGTCTATATTCCTCCCTCGATCAAACTCTTTGTGTTGTGGATCACAGCTGGAAGGTGGACTGTTCCAAGGATGTTCCAGTTTTGGGGTGGTTTCAGTTCATTTCCCTGTTGTAGGAGTTCAGTTTTCTTGTATATACATCCTATTGATACTTGATATCGGGTTCCCAGATCAAATTATCAAATGTTATTACACATGCCATGTTTGTATATCGGAGTAGTTATCGATTCCCTCCAATCTCTCGAACTTGAGGTGAAAACGGTATGATCCTCATCCTACCCCCGCATGAATGTCCATTCCCAGCAGTGAGGGTTTTGGACATAGATGACATACCCAATTCTCCCAACTTTTGTCATGCCCTATCCACTCTACATCTAGGGGCACATTCATTGTTTACCCACTTCTATATGGCCGGATCATATGGTTTGGCATACTATCCAACCAGAGTTCTCTCCCACTTAGATGTGCTCCTCTACCATTCAGCCCATATCTCATGTATATTTCATGTGTGGGCAAATAGTATACCTGGTTCAGAAGTAGTGCGGTTCCCCTCATCAGATCTTTGGGTCTGACTCTTCCAGGGGTTTCCTGTGGATGCTTTTGTAGGGTCGCTCCTCCTATTCAAAGTGGAATTCTAGCTAATCTTGTGAGTGGAAGGTATTACCATATCAGAAGTTATAATTTTTTTATACTGAAAATGTATTTCTGATAGGTAATTCTCTCTCCTCTCATTTTCCACCCTTCTTCCCGACTGAAAACTGGTGCTTCCATCTTTTGCCAGATTTAGTGTTCTAGTTTGGTGGAAGAGTATAAAGGGATTCACATGTGTCACTTGACTACTTCACACTCCACTGGTGTAGAAGCGATGCAGGATGATTTGCATGTTGGAATCACAAGATTCCAATAGGGGGGAGCAGAAGGCTTTGGCATGTGTTGAAAAAAGTTTGCATAGAGAGGGCAGCAGTGAACAGGAATAGTTAATCTTATGAGTGTAAATATATTTTCAGTATAGGAAAAATTATGAATTTTGGGTGTCATGCACTCACAGTTTCAGGTGGTCAAGACTATGACTGCTCTTACTACAGAAGCAGAATTCCTGATGATATCTAACGAATCGACACCACAATTCTCAATCCATTAACTCTCTCAATATGGGCTCGGTCAATTTGACCAACCACATGACCTTTTTGTACTCATTTAAAGTCTTTATAGATTTGATACTTATAACTCAATATAGTGTGTATATTTTCACAAAATTTGGCAGTTTTTTAGTTAATATTACAAGTCTTTCACATACAAAAGTCATATTTTTTAGTGAAATGTTTTAAATAAAATAAAATAAAGATTTGTCCATGGATATATTGAGTATTTGTTTTGACTAGTCCATGTGCAAAGTAATTTTCATGTTAAAATTAAAAATACTTTTCCTCATCTCAGAAATCTCAAATTTCATTAGTGTAATCTCTGAAACCTTCTAAATGCATTTCAAACTTTTTTTAAGTAAAACTTTATAGTTTATCTGTTATTTTCTCTACCCTATCTCAAAATGGGATCAATCAATTTGATCGACCTTGTAACCAAAAAAAAATCGAAATAAACCTAAATTACCCTTTTTTTCTTTCTAAAATGACTGTAACATGAAACTACATTCATTTATCCCAAGTATCTCTAAGTTCATAACAGTATACATCTATTTATAATTAAATTTTATTGTTTTATTGCCATTTAAACTGTGTGTAATTATTGTCTGTGTCATTATAAGTTGTAAATCACTCGGGGAACATGCAGCTCACGTTATGCTATTGAATTACATTACCCACAAGCTGCTCGCATGTGTGCCTCATAAACCATTTTAATTATATTATTATTATAACTACTTATTTTACCTAATCTGGTCTTAAATAAGTTAAAAAGATCTGTTTTAGTTACTTTTATAATAACACATAAAGAATAAATATGAAAAACAGGAAATAAAGTACTTACCCAATCTTCCTCTTTCTTGCTCTCGGGTTTCGAAGAGAGTTAACACTAATTTTTTTATACTATAGATAGTAATGCATTTAATAATTTTTAATTAAATAATTCACCAAAGAATATAGACTAATAACATGCAAAAAGTAGACAAAATCACTTACCTTTCAAAATTTTCCTGGCTTTCTAACTATGCAACAAGAGCCGTTACAAATTCATCCGAGCTAGTCGTTAACTTTCCCAGGGGAATGAATCTTGTACTGTGAGTGTAATTGATGTTATTCTATTCAGAAT